AACAGAACAATTACAATCTATGCTATAATAAAAGTCATGCGACAGCGATCTGCCAAAATATCCTATTGCTTCACCTCTTCTCTTAAATTAGGAAGCACTTCACAACTTCTCTTCAGCATATTCAAATTGCAGGTTTTAATACTCTTGTTCTTTGGGGGCCATTATTAAGTAAAATCAAGGTTACCTGAATATAAGTACTGTGATACTATGACTGAAAGTCACTGTGATAACTGAGATGGCAATTAAGTGACTAATGGGTGGGTAGCTGGAAAAAGTGACTAGGCTGGATAAAGGACTGAGTCATGTCCCAGGCACGTTGTGATGGGGACAGGAGGGGATTTTATCATGCTACTCAAAATAGCATGTAATTTAAAATGCACAAATTTGTTATTTCTGGACTGTTTCACTTAACATTTTTGAACCATATTTGACTGATGCTGTTTTGTGGAAGAAGAAAGAGTAGATAAGTAGGACTACTATGGTACAAACCCGACTATCTTATTATTCTACTTAAATCTTTTTAGTGGTTTCTCTTTTTGTTCTTGGTAGAAAGAACTAAACCCTTTTATCTAGTCTACAGGCTCTGCGTGGTTCTGACCAAAGAACAGAGCTTATGCATATAAATAAAAGTATGCATGTTGACTGGTATAGTAAAAAAAGATCACCTTTTTGCCTTAAAATGACTGTTATTTAACAATTTTTCAGTAAGAAACAAACTAAACAGAAAAATAAAAATATCTGCAAAGCTGGGGTCACAGAAAAGCAAAGCCACAATGCTCTGTAGGTTTTGTCTGCACTCTTCCTCAGCCTACCTGTTATCTGATACGACTGCAGGTACACAAGACAGTGACTGACACACACCACCTGGCTTCTTCATGCAAGACTGCTGACCAGTTTGTGTAAATTCCCCCAAGACAATCTCTAAGAAGTTTTCTTCAAGGTGCTCTTGAACATCCCCAGTCTGTATAGCTTCTACAACACAGCACTGCAATTTCTCCATAGAGCTAACAGGCATCTTTGACAGTAAGGGCACTCCACAGAACCCTAAAGCCAAGCATGTGATATATATACATATACATATACATATATATTGAATATCCATATATTCAATATCTGTATAATTAATGAAGGCAGAAAAACAATTTAAAAAATCTGTCTTGTCTTGTGAATCAGGCACATACACTGTAATTTACCTAAACCCAGTCTTAAACATGCACACACAGAGAAACATGTATTCTATATATCCCCTATATTAATTTTCAGTCCTATCAGCCAGGAAAGACTAAATATGCAGAAGATCACCTACTTAGGGATTAGCAAAAACATTAAATTCATCATGCTGAAAATGTTCAATTTTGTGAAATAAGTTTTGAAGTTGTTCAATAGCATTTGATTAATCTACTTAGTGAATTCCCAGAACAATGGGCAAATAAAGGGAATGAGGTGAAACTGCCAAAACAACAACAACAACAACAACAAACAAACAAACAAAAAAACCAATGCAATTTGGCCTGAACAAATCATTTAATTCTTAGGACACAAGGGCAATGACAATGTTAGTATGGAGCCTCTTCAGAAGAGAGTCACAAGATGGAGAAGGGAACTAAAAGTGTGTGAGGAAAAAAGTGGAATTTTAGTTTGAAGGAAAAGTCCCAAGGGACAAGATAGCGGTGTATGAAGATGTGCTGTGACTCCTCCTTTCCCTGTTTCCTGGATACATTGGAGTGACAAGCTCCTTGGCTGTACACTCTCACTGCCATTGTATTCGGCCTCAGTTTGTTAGTGACTATGGACTGAACCTATTGAAACTAGGAGCCAAAATAAGTCTTTCATACTGTTAGTTGATTTTCTCAGTTTTAACAGCAATGGAACTCTGAATAACAAAGTTATAAAGAATCAAGTTCGTATTAAGAAATGTTTACCTTCAGGATTTATAATTCATATTCCCCCTTTCATACATTCATATTCAGCTATTTTTTTTAATATTCTAAAGGCATAGACTTTTTCTGATTTTGGGTAGCAACACTCACTAGCTCTAGTTTCCATAGTTACACTACATCTGAAACTATAAATAAACTGCTCTGAAAAGCCACACTGTGTACAGGTACATGTCACACATAAAACTGCCTTGATAAATGAAGAATAATCTACTTCATGAGAATATGGCTTACAAAACTTACAATAGGGGCTGGAGAGGGCTCAGAGGCATGCACGTAGGAAGAACTGAGTTGGGATCCTCAGAACCCATATAAAAGCCAGGTATAGTAGTATGCATCTGTAACCTTAGTCCTGGGGGTGTGGGTGTGGGACAGAGATAGGCAGAGCCCTTGGCAATCTTGGTCAGTGACATAGCTAATTGGTGACCTTCAAGTTCAGTGAGGCGATCCTATTTCAAAATACAACATGGAGAAGAGCTGAAGAGATGGCTCAGAGGTCAAAAATCACTTCCAGAGGAGCCAGGTGTGATTCCCAACATCCACAACCATCTTGAATTCCATGTCCATGGGATTTGACACCCTTTTCTGGCTGTCTCAGGCACTGTACATTCAATGTGTATCACAGACACACATGCAGGCAAAACACCCACATACATGAATCAAAAATACATTGTCTTAATTTGGGTTTCTAAACTGACCTGAACATCGGGGAACTCTTGCTCCCCAGACTAATAGCTGGGAAATCAGCATGGGACTGATCCAGACCCCATGGACTTGGCCGTCAGTGAGAAGACCTCTGAAATCTATGGGGCCTTTTATAGTAGATCAGTACTTATCCTTATCATAGGAATGGGCTTTAGGAACCCATTCCACACAGAGGGATGCTCACTGAGCCTAGACACAAAGGGGTGGACCTAGGCCCTATTCCAAGGTATATGACAGACTCAGAAGACCCCCTATGGAAGGCATCACCCTCCCTGGGGAGCAGAAAGGGTATGAGATAGGTAGGGTATTAGTTGTTTCATACATTCATATTCAGCTATTTTTTTTAATATTCTAAAGGCATAGACTTTTTCTGATTTTGGGTAGCAACACTCACTAGCTCTAGTTTCCATAGTTACACTACATCTGAAACTATAAATAAACTGCTCTGAAAAGCCACACTGTGTACAGGTACATGTCACACATAAAACTGCCTTGATAAATGAAGAATAATCTACTTCATGAGAATATGGCTTACAAAACTTACAATAGGGGCTGGAGAGGGCTCAGAGGCATGCACGTAGGAAGAACTGAGTTGGGATCCTCAGAACCCATATAAAAGCCAGGTATAGTAGTATGCATCTGTAACCTTAGTCCTGGGGGTGTGGGTGTGGGACAGAGATAGGCAGAGCCCTTGGCAATCTTGGTCAGTGACATAGCTAATTGGTGACCTTCAAGTTCAGTGAGGCGATCCTATTTCAAAATACAACATGGAGAAGAGCTGAAGAGATGGCTCAGAGGTCAAAAATCACTTCCAGAGGAGCCAGGTGTGATTCCCAACATCCACAACCATCTTGAATTCCATGTCCATGGGATTTGACACCCTTTTCTGGCTGTCTCAGGCACTGTACATTCAATGTGTATCACAGACACACATGCAGGCAAAACACCCACATACATGAATCAAAAATACATTGTCTTAATTTGGGTTTCTAAAGCTTGTGAAACCCACAGAAACAGCTGACCTGAACAAGGGGGAACTCTTGGTTCCCAGACTGATAGCTGGGAAACCAGCATGGGATTGATCCAGACTCCATGAATGTGGGTGTCAGTGAGAAGACCTCTGAAATCTATGGGGCCTTTTATAGTAGATCAGTACTTATCCTTATCATAGGAATGGGCTTTAGGAACCCATTCCACACAGAGGGATGCTCACTGAGCCTAGACACAAAGGGGTGGACCTAGGCCCTATTCCAAGGTATATGACAGACTCAGAAGACCCCCTATGGAAGGCATCACCCTCCCTGGGGAGCAGAAAGGGTATGAGATAGGTAGGGTATTAGTTGGGGGGTAGTAGAGGAGGAGGGGAGGCAGAGGCAACTGGAACTGACAGGTAAAATAATCTTGTTTCTAATTTAAATACAAAATGGAGAGAAAATAAAAGAAAAAAAAAAGACAACGGGGAGAATAAAGAGTCACTCTTAACTCTCACAGCCAGCTCACCAAATTATTTCCATTTAGTTTAGGGAAAATTTGAGGTGTTAAAATAGATATTTTCAAATATTTTAATGGGGTCATATAAAAAAAGTAGGCTGACTGATTCAAGACTAAACTAGAAACAACATATATATGTTTCGAGTAAACAGGTTAAACATTAACAGGGGTGCTGTTATGTGATAGATGAAGCTTATTGTAATTTGAAGATCCTGTGATCTATGCTGAAATATGCCATATAGGGCTGTATATTTAAATAAGAACTCTAATCACTTTAAAAATGAACAAATAATCAGCCTACTTTACCCATTTTTTGTTCAATAAGACAATTATAAGATCTGTGAAATGTATTACACATCTATACATCCATACATAGTACACATACCAAGTCTTCCATTTCTCAAATTAATCACTACAATTACACTTTTAATACTGATATTCTGAAAAAAACTGCCATTATATTTTAAATAAATTTAAATTAAATTTAAATTGGTGCACAGTGAAGAGTAACCATTTTTAAATGTTGGGTGATACCTACTCATCTCAATTTTTAATTAAAGAGTGTATTCAGACAAGTTCTAAACTGACTTTACATCTGTGAAGAGCTCATCATTTAAATATTCAGTTTCAAAGTGAGAAACTCATAAAACCACCATGAGCAAAACAGAATTGGGGCTGGACCTTTAATCCCAGCACTTGGGAGGCAGAGGCAGATGGATCTTTGAGTTCGAGGCCAGCCTGGTCACCCGAGCGAGTTCCAGGACAGGATCCAAAATAATGCAGAGAAACCCTGTCTTGAAAAAAAGCAAAAATCAACAACAAAAACAGAATTGGTTAGAAGGATCACATCATGAATTTTATACTAACCAATCAGAAGAACTGTTCCAACAGCTAAACCTCCACCTGGAAATGATACACAAAAACAACATTAGTCACAAACTTTCTAGATTTTCTTTAGCACAAAATTTAGACTTCACCAAGCACAGTTACCTCAATAATATTAGAAACTACCCTTGTGATCAGTATTTGAGCTATCTTTGCAATACTTTGTTCAATGTGTTATTATGATATAGTTACATGTTACCTGTAGTTACATACTACATATCATATTTACTTCCCTAATATGTTATTGTGCTCCCCTTTCTCTGGACAGAACCAGGAGGCACTCAATACAACTTCGGTAAAGCACTCCAATGTTATATTTAGCAATTGTTAATAAATTAACTCAAGAGCCAAGATCCAAATGTGCATAGTAACTGTTACAAATTCTACTTTATTTTCAAATTGAGCAAATAAAAAATAATTCCAACAATTTTTAGAAAAAATAACATATCCAAGTCTATAAATGCTTAAATGTGAAATTTATTTTTGTCAATTCAAATAAAAAGGAATAATCAAAAATACATTTTCACTAATATTGAAATGAGTTCTTTTAAGTATTTAAATGACACTAATACCATGAATATATTATTCAAATAGCCACTAAAATTCACTTTTCAGATATCTGAAGTATGCTAGAGAGGTGAGAGGCAAGGCAGTCCATATGATACTTTGTTGTTCATCTCATCTGTAAAATACTAATTCCAAGTATTAGTACTTGGAACTAATGTCTCAAAAACTAATACTTTAAAATTAAGAAATACATGCTAAAGAATGACCACATATTTGTTTCATTATTTCAAAAGTATTCAAAGCTGTTGAATAAGTGAAGACAGTTTTCTTGGTAAGATTTGTGTGTATGTCACAAAACCATAAAACATTTTGATGAGTATCAATAAAAACCTCTTTCCCAAAATATTTTGTAGTGGCAAAATATGTGGAGAAATTAATATAAAAAGTTCCCTTAATAGTGTTTCTTTTCTCTTACTCAAAAAGCACACTTTTTGTGTCAAACAGTATAAAATCTATTAACATGTTTCCAGAATAAATTGAAAAAACTGTGGTATATACTAATTTATGGTGATAGCTGATATAATTTGAATACAATCTGAAAAAAATTTCAAAATTACCAATAACAGACACTTCAAACATTAGTACATTTACATATGTTTGTATGCATGTGAACATCTCTCTGTCTCTGTCTGTCTGTCTGTCTGTCTGTCTGTCTGTCTGTCTGTCTCTCTCTCTCTCTCTTTCTCTCTCTCTCTCTTGTGTGTGTGTGTGTGTGTGTGTGTGTGTGTGTGTGTGTTGTGAGGTTTGTGTAGCCTAGGCTTGCTTAATTTCACTGGAGCTGAGGCTGAAGCTTCAACTCCTGACCCTCTCTTTTGTACCTCTGATGCACTGGGATTTATACTATTTTAACTGGATTTATTGTAAAATTGAATAAATAATTTAATTATAAATCAAGACAATTTCCCACACTGTAACATTTAAAATGTAGATAACACTAATGAGGACAATTTCAAGATTAACAGAGTGAAATGTACATTAAGACAGCACTCAAAAGGATTCAAGTATGGTCTGCTTTTAGATGGATTAGACTAAATGCTGAATTTAAATTTGTGCTACACAAAGGCCACTGTTAACTTTGATATTTATTTTTAACTTTACATCCTACCTTCCTTTATGTGGAAAAAACAAACATTTAATGCCTTAATGGTCATTCATTATTTATTTCTTTTTATGCAGTTTTTAAAAAATTTATTACATTCCAATCCCAGTTACCCCTCCCTCTTTTCCTCCCACTCCTTCCAATCCCCTCTCCTTGCTCCCATCTGCTCCATGGAGAGGGTAAGGCCTCCCCTAGGAAGTCTACTAAGTCTGTCCCATCATCTAGTTGAGGCAGGACCAAGGCACCTCTCCCCCCCGACACTCCTGTGTCTAGGCTAGGCATGGTATCTCTCCATATAGAATGGGCTCCACTAAGTCAGTTCCTACATTAGTGTTGGGTCTTGGACCCACTGTCAGTGGCTTCATATATTGTCCCAGTCACACCATTGTCACCTATAATAAGGGAGTCTAGTTTGGTCTTATGCAGATTCCCCATTTGTCAGACCTGAGTCAGTGATCTCCCACTAGCTCAGGTCAGCTGATTCTGTGGGTTTCCCTATCACGGTCTTGACTCCTTTGTTCATATTTTTGGTCCTCCCTCACTTTGATTGTACCACAGGAGGTTGGCCCATTGGTTAGTTATGGATTTCTGCATCTGTTTCCATCTGTTTCTGAATGGTCATTCTTTTTAAGAATATAAAATTATGCTCTAGTGTCCAACTCAGAGTTGTTACTATAAAAGGTTGGCTAATTTTCCTGGTCTACTTCCCTAATCTACTTAACTTTCATATCTAACTTCCAGTACAATAAAAGGCAAAGGGTTTTAAAGCTTGAGTCAGTATCTCACTTTTTAGCGGAGGCTGAGCTGGAACTCACAGAACACTCTTGCCTCTCAGCCTTCTCAGCCCTGGGACCACAAACATAAGCTAACAAGCTCAACTATTTTTTCCTCATGGTGGGACAATGAGATGTTTGTCAATGAAAATGAAGTAATATGTAAAATCCAGCATGCTCAGTAAGAGATGCCTTTGCTGTTTTTGTGATGATTTTCAGATTAGAACCCATCACTCAATGCATATTATTACTCGGTAAGTGATGACAATAGTAACAATAACAGACAAGGAGGAACTAGCTAAGCAGAGCATCTTGCAAATCCCACAAAGGAGGGAGGTTGGTTTTTGAAAAATGATCCAAACAAAATTCTTTTTCTGATAATTTAGGAAAATGTCACTCAAAAATTATAAATCTTATGTTCTTGAAAAGTCCTTAAAACACTATCAAATAGGAATGAATTAAATAACTTTTAATGACCTAAGTTCTTTTTGGTAGGAGTAAAGAGACTGTAGTTAAACAATTAATCTTAAATTCTGTAAACTGTCAAAACTCCCTGAAAATAGTTCTCACAAATTAGCAATGTCTGTGCTGTAAGTACAGAGACTAAATCTGAAGCTGAAGATCACTTCACTTGGCCAGGAGTTTTGTGAATATTCATACCATTAAATTTCTGAATCAGTTTTTGGAGCTCAAATGCCAAACTCTATTTTTCATACTTACCATTTCTTGTTTACTCTTTTTCCCCCCTCCTTATTCTTTCGATCAAGACCTTATAAAAACTTACTTCGTGCCAGGCTCTGGTCTTGGCACATTTTTCTATTTTAATGAGAAAATGAATACACAATACTGAAAATGCACCTTTTGTTTATAGTTTGATTAGTATCAACTGAATAAATGAACCTATCCCATTAAATTAAAAATATGAACATTTAAGGAGTAGAAATGATTGACAGGCTAGATTGTTAGGAAATATTTGCTGTCATTAAAGCTTATAGATTAATTTCTGTCTGGATGAGAGTTCACTAAAACCGGCCAATCTTCTAAGCTTTGGGTTCAAATCTTTAATAACAACTGAGGTCAGAAGGGAAAAAAGTGAAATATTTGCCAACTATGCATTTTGAATTATGTTCCTAGCATCACACAACTCAATGGATTGAAAACAATTATGTGAAAATATTTTAAATTCATGTAGAAAACAGTTAGGATCCATTTAGAATATGAAATAATAGAATAATAGAATCAAGAAGCCATACTGTTTCTGATAGCTTGACTTGTTATTTTCCTCTTTGCTAACTTACTTGAAAAGCCAGAGAAAATGCTAAATAAAGTACAACAATAAGCAATAGCAATTGTAATATATTATAAAAATGTACCATATTTATATGTAGCAAACATGTAGCAAACACTATGAACAAATGCTTACAAAACGTAAGCACACATCTGTTTTTAAGAAGCAGCATTCGGACATAATTTAGTCTGTTCCACCAACCTAATTTAGTTAATTCTTTCAACAAATCATTCCTATGAAATAAGTATATTCTGCAGAAGGCTTCGAATGAAAAAAAAATCCCACAGATTCTGATATATATGTGTACATGTTTAAGAAACTAGGGGTAGAACTATCCGTACTGCCATTCCTTTGAGTCAACACACATCTCTAACATCCACTCTTTTAGAGCCAACACCGCCTATAATTTAAAGAGATAAGTAGCCGAAATGGAAAAGAGGGGAATACTTTTAGCATTTTCTTAAGAAACTCTTCTATTACAACCCTAAAATTTTGTAGGTTAGACCCAGTTTTAAGCTATCTGGGATTGGAAGGATAGTGTCGCAGAGACCAGCAGAGGACCCTAAAAGTCAATTCCTTTTCATGTTTCTTTTACATTAGGAATCATTTTGGGGTAAAAGCACTTAGGGAGTCCTGGTCATCTGCTGGGCAGAGCGGAGCAAGGAGTTTGTGGGTCCTAGGGAGGGCTTAGTGCACAGATCTTAAGACATCTCCATGCAAGTCTTCTGCCCCCGCCCTGTCTTTATCATAGCAGGCTACCCCGACCCCGTCTGTGAAGGGGAGAGGGATGTGCGAGGCTGGGCAGGGCGTAGGGGTGAGGGGCTGTCCCGGGAGTCCCTCCCCATGTTTTCTCTGGGATGCGCCCTCATCTTTCTGAACCGACCTAAGAGCTGGTCCAGGGCTGGGAGCCCGGTTGACACCAGCAGCTGTCCATTCCGCACCGACGGTCGAGTGCCCGCAATGGACAGCAGCCGAGGGCCACCTCCGTCAGCCCCAGAGGCCTTGCTCCTCCTCTGAAAGCTGGTGGTGCTGCTCCGGCCGGCTGTGGATGCCACGCACCCAGAGCTGAGGACTCCCGCGCCGCAGGTAGCTGCCGCCGCCATCTTGACACTCCTGCTATGAGCCAATAGGAACTCTGGGAACTTGAGCGGCTGGCCTGTCAGAGACAGCCTTAAAGTCCCGCCTATCTACTACCGGAAGCCAATAGAAACGAGAATTTCCTTGCTGCCCAACCAATCGCAAGGCCGATTGCTGAAAAGTGCTCTGGACGTAAAGCAGGAGGATCGTACAGGTTCCAGGTTAAGCAGGTCCGCTTGAGCTCTGGTTGAGGAACTTCTGTTGGTGTTTGGGCCACAGGTGGGTACTGGCCTTGGGCATTCTTGGTGTGGGAGTGCCTGCGTTCCCGCGGAGTAAGAAAAGGCTGGAGTAGCCATTCGCCAGTAGGGCTTCTCTAGCCACCCGGAGTTAGAGAGCTCGCGTCTCCCCTGCTGTTTAGCACAGAGAGACGCTACTTTCGCCTTTCTCGTTTCTAAGGAAAGTTATCCCCGTCTTCCCCACGCGAGACCATCTTTACCCGAATAGTTGTACTGTCTGGAGAGGATGTAACGGTGACTTCAGTGGCTGGCTAGAGCCTGGACTTAGCCAGTTAGAGCCCAGGGCTAAGTGGGTTGGATAGTAGACTTTACTTAGAAACTTGCCTCTAGGAACTTAAAGGCTTTTGGGCTTTCTCCCCTGTCTGTCAGACTATACCTTTGACAAGTCACTGTGAGCAGCTTTCCTTAATTTTAATTAGGGTTTCTGGAAATCTTGGAGAGTCTTTCCTAAGCAGTATGAATGACAGGTGTTACTCTGCCAACCTTCTTCACACATTTAATTGTTGCTCTGTGAAGCAGCTGCAAAACCGGAAAATACCTGAGATTTCTCTCCCCTCAAATCTGAGAATTAGATTTATTTGTATTTCATTTCCTACTGATTGCGAAATCTGAATGGAGAGGGTTACTAATGCACTGTGAGTTTTATTTGTGGGAGAAACCCCATGTAATTTAGAACTGTTAAATTTACTTATTTTTTTCACATGAGAACTGGAGGAGGAATTGGTTATTTTAAAATACATTTCAGATAGGCAGTGTTTGAGCTAAAAGATGAATCCAAAGTCAACACCTGCGACATTGAATTACTGCTGTTGACAGTGATGACATGTATTTGTCATCCATCCATCCATCCATCCATCCATCCATCTTGAGACAAAGTCTCACTATATAACCATGGCTAGCATGGGAGCTCTCAGAAATCTGCCTGACTTTGCCTTCTGGTGCTGGGACTAAAGGGGAATGCTATCACAACTTTATTTACTTTTTATTTTTTCTTCCTTCCTGCATGCCTGCATAACATTCAGGTTGAGCCCAATCCCATAATCCTGACGAGGTGGAGAAGGAGAATCAGGTGTTCATGGCTGGCATTAGCTCTGTAACACCCATGTCTCAAAACAAACAAAAATCAAAAGTAGAAAATAAAGAGTCATATGGGGGGGGAGCAACAAACCATGAGGTTTAGCAACAACGCATCAACTAGAAAGATTTGATGATGGTGGCTCCCATTTCAAATATGCCACCAGTGGTATGTATGTATGTATGTATGTATGTATATCCTTATATATTCAAATCATTCAAATAACTCTTGAGTACTTGCTTTCTGCTTAGACCCAATCTTGTCATTTTATACAAAGAAGAATACTCTATCCTAGTTTAGCAGCCTTCATATTTTAGATGCCAAGCTCCTTGTAGGCAGATAATATATTTTGTTTCATTTGATTAACCTTCATTATTCCCAAAGAAAACCAAGACCATTTGGAGCCACAACAAGAAATACAGAAGATCATGATGTGTTTGTGCTTGGTTGTGAGTGGGTATATCTTTCTGAGACCAAACAGAAAATAATTTAGGTTTGGCAGACAGTGAAGTCTTGAAACCACTCACTCTTCCATGAGTAAATCATGAGAGTTGGCATTAATGGTTGAGCACAGCTATGTTAGAAGCTGAAATTTGAATTTCATATAGTTTTTGTGTGTTACAGCATACTCTTCTTTTTCCTTTGCACCATTTGAAAGTCAAGAGTATGCCCTTCTTTGTGTTGCCCCACAAAAATTAATGGCGCTGAAAGATTTATCTGATGAACTGTAGTTTGTCAGCCTATGTGCTGGACTGTTTTTTACCTGTCTCTATGATTTTATATACCTTATTTTCTAGAAATACTTCAAGGTCTCTAGTATGGTCATGCTCCTCACTGTCTTCAGTGTTTACTTATATTAGTCAAACATACTATTGTTTGGGAACAATTTTTGAAAGAAGTAGCATTGAACTTGTCGTTTTGAACCAGAATTTCCTGTAGGCATGGTACTTGGAATAGAAGTCTGTGTTTTTATGTATAGTCTCTTCAAGGCAATCTAAGCTTTTCTGTTATAAGCTTCTGCTAGAGCAATACCCTACTTCGTGTTGCGAAAATATACAAGAATTTCCTAGGATCACCGTAAGGAACTGGTATAAACTTGGTGGCTGTAGAGAAAACTTTTTCAGAACATCAGTAACAAGTATTATCTGCATGTCTGTGCAGCCACATTCATTCCAGATATTTAAGAAATGATTCTTCCTTTCTGGTTCTGCTGGCTCTTGATATTCTTGATTGTAAAACCATAACTCCAAAGTCTGTCCCCAGTTTCATAATGTTCTCTACTCATGGCTCTGTGTATGGTTCTCTGTCTTTCATTAGGACATTATTATTAGATTTGTTACCTCTCTAATCTAGTATAAGTTCATGTTGATCTGTACCTTCGTTACATTGCAAATAATATATGATCGTATCCTATGGTTCTTAGTGGATATTATTTTGGGAAGTATGACACTACTCAATCCACTCAAGTCTCTTTTGGATAATAGTCCTTTTATAATGTAAACTTTTGAGTAATATATTTGTAAAAATGAAAAGCTTATGAATAATTAGTTGGTAAAATTATTTCATGGATTGATGAGATGGCTTATGGATTATTGAGATTTCTTGATGGTTAAAGGCGCTGCCAAGATTGGTGACCTTAGTTCCACCCTAGCACCCACATGATAGGAGAGAACTAGTTTGAGCAAGCTGTTCTCTGACTTCTCTCTCTATGGATGCTATGACAAGCATGCACTCCCCCTCCCAATAAATACATGCTTTTCAGCATGCTGATATACTTGGTGTTAATGTTAGTTGTAGGAAGTACTAGAGAAATCACTTTCAGTCTTTATACTAGATGATGTTGACAATATTGTATATGTGTGTACACATTAATAACACTAAAGTTCTGTTGATTTAAATTTGTTGTTTAGTGTACATCATTATAACAAGATCTTAAACCACTTCTTTATTAAAATAGTGTTGATCTGTAACTGATGGGAACAAAGGTGCAGTGAAGTTTAGGTGTTTTGATATATTGACTCTGAAATGTTTAGGAAGGATTCAAATGCTTACACAACTAAGAAAATATTTACATTAGTAGCATAAATATAAGAATGTTTGAGACTTGCAATACGATGCAATTAAGATTAGTTATAGAGCCTGTTCATGGATGAATGAATGTATTTAAGCAGACTTTTACACAAAATCCCCCAAATTATATGTATTTGAAGACTGATAATCAACTTCTTTTGAAAGCAGAAATTGGTTATTTGGTGTGAACACTGAGAGCCATATGTAAACACATACAATGCAAACTTTGGCATTTCAAGTAGAAGAGACCTAACTATGTGTGTCTTTAAGTCATAAGAACTGATGTAGTGTTATTATACCTAAATATATCATGGTTTTCACATTAAAATATTTTGACCTTCAATTGGTCATAAGTTTTTTTTATAGTATCATGTGCAGTCATCATATTCATTAAGTGATTAATCTTTTTATTTTTTTTACAAAAGCATTATGAACTATTTTCAATGTTTTCATTTTTAAAATTAGCCATGCAGAGGGGTTCATGGTTTTTAATTTCAGCACTTTTGGGACAGGAAAATCTCTGTTGTCTACAAAGTAAATTCAAGGACAACCAAGACTATATAGAAAAACCCTGTCAAAAAAGAAAAAGATGTCATTAGCTATGCATGCTGATCTGTAAAAGCAAAAGTGTAAAAGTGTACATGACTGCCTTATCAACTCCTTGACTGCAATGCTTAGCTTTTGATATAACCTGTTATTTTGTTATGTCTTTTAATTTCTTTCTTCTTAAATCTTCCTTTAGATAAAAAGACTTTAATGTTATCATTTGATAAAGGTCCAATGCGATTGAACATCTAAATTGAACACTCTTGTTGTCCCTTTTAAAGGAAGATAAAATTCATTGAGAAATGTCTATACTCACCATACATTAATTTAGCTCACCATTGGTCAGAGATGACCTAACACAGCTCTGATTTACTGCTTTAGGAATCTGCAACCATGGATGACTCACATATGCTTCAAGACCTGCTTTAGACTTGGGTTTTCCTGGGAACCTTGCAGCTACACTAAAGTTGAATGAATTGTTGAAGAGACCTATGGTAAGTGGACTTAAAACAAAACAAAACAAAAACAAAAACAAAAACTAAAAATCAAACAAAAACCTCTTTGGTCAAGTTAAGTCCTTTGACTGTTGTAAGGCTGCTCCCTGCTGGACAAAATGTGACTTTCTGAGATTGGCACTAAGTAGGTGAGTAAAGAACTGCTTGACTGCTCCTCCTTCCCCCACCAGGGGATCCTTGCTACATTCACAAAAGCTATCCTCAAAATAGTGCTATACTGTTGCCACCATGATGATAATCTAGTACAATATGGTTTCCAAGTTTGTTGGTTGCTTCCTGTTTAGTGGTGTCTAAAAGAGCAAATGCATATTCAGGGATGCCTGTCAATGTGGGCCTTAAATAACTCCCTTAATTGTGTATACTTTTTTGTAATGTAACTCAGTATACTATTATTATAATGATGTGTGTTACAACAATTTTACTTCCATATGCTATTGTGGAAACAATGATTTTTGTCTACATAACCTCTTCTCCAATAGTTGAAACTGTTTCACTGTAATTTAAACTAGATTATATTGGATCCATTTTGAGTGAACAACCTATGAGTTATGTTTT